CAGTCATCTCACTTCAAAGCCTGTTTCTGTAGGCAATGGGCATTCACACATGTGAACTCCTTGGGGGCAGTAGCACACCTTCGAGAACCATGTCTCAGTTAGATGAGGGCTTTTTTTTTCCCTCCATCTCTTAGGTAGCATTTTATTTTTCAACAGTTCAATAATGTTATTTGAAACACAGTTTCTCTGCATTATTGCTTTTTTTGCTTTATATTAAATATGTGTTTTCAGTATGTCCCAGAGATACAATGATTTTTTTTTTCACCTTTTAAAAAAGGTAAATAAGAAAACAATAAATTAAACACTCTTTGGAGTTACAAGCTTCCAACATGAGAAAGGTATTTTAGAAGCATTATGGACATTATGACGTTTTAACAGTCAAATGGTTAAATCTTCAGATGAATTCTCACCTACCTTTTCCTTAAGTGGACAAATACTACATACTTTTACCAAGCATAAAGTTGGGGAAAAGTGTCAGAAAATCAATACAGAGCACCTTAGTTCTTTAAGCCTATGGCAGACAACCAAGGAGCTTTAACCTGCCAATATACCTTCAGCTGAGTGGCCAGATATGACTTCTGGAAAAACATCTAGCACTTGCATTCAGTCCATGTGGGCCATAGTGACAGATCTTGACAGTGTTCATTGCCAGGACAGATGCACTGAAATTTCATTTTAATGCACCTTGAGTTTTCACAGAAATGAGGCTCTGTAGTTCTGAAAGATGCATAGCTAGCAATTGTCAGCTCCTCCTCTGAAAGGTCGACCAGCCTTGACATACGCTGGCTGGCTACTCCTGAAGCTGACAATGACGCCTTGGCTCTGAAGCAGCAGGACTGTGATAGCTCAGTTCTTACAAGACTATATTTCCAGACTAGACTGAACAATCCAGAAAGACAGGATGCCATCCATAGGGCCATGGACAAGCTCAAGAAGTAGGCCCATGGCAATCTCATGAGGTTTATTGAGACCAAGTGCAAGATGCTGCACCTGGGTCAGAGTAATCCTCAGTATGAATCCAGGCTGGGGGATGAGCAGATCCAGAGTAGGACCTGGGGAAGAGATGGTGACCTGGGGGTGCTGGTGGATGAGAGGCTGGCATGGCAATGTCAACTTGCAGCCCAGAAAGCCAAATGTATCCTGGGCTGCACCAAAATCAGCATGGTCAGCTGGGTGAGGGAAGGGATTCTGCACCTCTGCTCCACTCTGGTGAGACCCCACCTGCAGGGTCCCCAGCACTGGAAGGACAAGGACCTGTTGGAGTGAGCCCAGAGGATGGACACCAAGATGATCAGAGGGCTGGAGCACCATTCTTATGAAGAAAGATTAAGATAATTGGGATTGTTGGGAAGAAATACTGTCAGGGTGGTGAAGCACTGGAACAGGTTGCCCAGAGAAGTAGCAGATGCCTCATCCCTGGCAGTGTTCAAGGACAGGTTGGATGGTCTAGTGGAAGGAAATGTCCCTGCCCATGGCTGGAGCTTGGAGCTAGCTGATCTTTAAGGTCCCTTCCAACCCAAGCCACTTTAAGATTTTATACTTTGACTTTTTAAATTTTTATTTGTAGGATTATGGTATCTTTCAGGTAAACAAATGAAGAACTGAGAATGATACATACACACATGCACAGACACACAGAGATATATATACACATATACACACAGTATATACATGTATATATTTACCAAATAAATCTGCACATGTGGAAACCATCTGTGACATCTGGTCTTTTACTAAATCATGTCTATTTATATATAGACACATCACTCCAAACTTCTCTAGGATCATGATTCTCAGAGCTGAAAACTGCTGAGCTCCATCCATACAGCACTAGGCTTTCATTAAGAAATCCAGTTCCCATAGTAATACTTTTCCATTCTGCATCTTTCTGTATCCAAGTACATGCCTAAGTATCTGAGAGAAAATAGCAACCAATTAGCATAGTAAAGTGGTAAATTTTAAATCTATTCTGTGCACAACAGAGATATTATGAGTTGAAGTCATATTAAAAATTTAGTGTAATGAATCATAGTTCCTCTGCTGACATAAACAGGCACTAGACTTAGCAGAGAGGGCATTTCTTAACTCAAGGTTAGATAGCAAAATGCTACTAAAAAATCTAGAAATTATTTTTTTTATCTTGCCTTCTGTTTAAAAATTAGCCTAATATCCAGTTTTAAAGACTATCATCAGGAAAGTAAGTAAACGTCAGTTAAGAGAGTTTCTAGTAACTATTCCCAGAGAATATTGAGTAGTTAGATGGTGACATGTTGCCTTTGATCTTTTTAATTCACAGCTTCTGATTGAAGATAAACATCTGCAAGAACCTCATATAGTTTGCACCAATAGTAAATAAAAGTCTCTCTCCTGTGGATCATTAATCTGATAATACTCAACTTTTCACCATTTGTTTAACCTCTTACTGTAGAATCAGATGAAGATCTAGAAATGTATTCATATTCTCAATTAAAAAATCCAGTCAAGATACAATCTTGGACACACCTACACTGCTGTATAATCCCACCATAACAAATGAAGTCAGGAAATTAAATGATTGTGTAGTCTGCTAAATTCTGGCTTGATAAAATCTTTTAAGGAGCAATAATTGAAATCATAGTTTCTTAGGCACGTCACTGGAATGCAAGACACTTCCCTTAGAGCTCCTGGGTATGTAATAATGTAGAACCACATTTTCAAAGTCTTTCCATTTATTTAAGCTACATTATTACTACTAACTTTCTAAAAGGCACTTGCACAGACTAGATGGGTAGCATGTCCTCTGGAAAAGTCCAGCTTGTCAAAACAAAATCCTTTTTGCAGAAATGTGACAGCTTCACAGACTCAAATTCAGAGCAAAATACCAAAGATATTGGTATAAAGCTCACTAAAGCTCAAAGCATCCAAATAGCTCAGCAATGCAGGCAATCCAATAGATTCACTGTCAAATCTCCTTTTGCAGATCAAAGCTTTGAATTTGGTTTTATATTCGGTGAAGCCTCTTGATTATTTAGTTTACTAGGTCAGTCTTTCTTACCATATTATTACACAAAAGGAAATGAGTCCAACATGAGATTATATTTTATAGCTGTGACTAGCTTAGATTGTACTCTTTGAGCAGCACTGTACAGAAATACCCATGCTAGGCCACACTGCAGAGGATAAGTAACTATCTGTTTTTATTTGCATGGACACAAAAACCAACCAACCAACCAACCAAAAAATAAAACAAAACAAAAAAAAAACCAAACCAAAACAAAACAAAACAAAACAAAAAAAAAACCAACAAAAAACCCAGAAAACAGAACAAATGTTCCTTAGCTGCTTGACAAGCCTGGAGAACAAAGAACAAACAGGAGGAACTGGAACACACTGAGGGTTAGTATTAGAACAAATGTTTTAAATTTTAGAAGAGAAAATTTCAGCTCTCTCAGAGCTAAATTGGGAAGTATTTCATAGGAAGTGTCAATGAAGGATAAAGGAGATAGCACGTGCCAGGAGTTCTTCTAATATTCTCTTCCTGGAAGCACAAAAACAGTTCATCTCCTTTAAAGATGGAGATAGAGCAAGAGAGCACCTTGGCTTAACTGTAAGCTCCACAGCCTGTTCAAAAGAGAAGCGTTCCAGAGTTGGAAAAGCAGACAAACACCTGTCAAGAACCACAAGGGCATTGCCACAGTGCACAGAAATGCAGACAGAAAACCAAAAGCTGAGCTCAAATAGAAATTGGCCAGACATGTAAAAAACTATAAGAAAGGGCCAATTAATAGATGCAAACTAGAAATTACTCATAGATCCTTAGTCAGTCATTCAGAAACAACCCTCCAGTAGGACTAATTGGGTGACAAAACCACCACTACTTTTAAAATTTAAGCTTGATATATATGTTAATTTGATCAAATGAAACCATAAACAAAGCTACCAATCAGACTGGATGAAAATCAAGAAGGATTTTTCTCCAAGTAGGGAATTCTGGTCTTCTGTTTGTATTCACTGCAGCCAGTGGTCCTTCTGACTTGCTCTTGTTTGGGTTGGTTTTGGTTTTGCCTCCTCTCAGACTCATAATTCATTCAGCCATACATCTTACTGGAAAGTGTGTCTTTTATTTTACCTTGAATGTCAAGCATATTAACAGTCTCTGATACTAGGACAACAGAAAAACAACACATTAGAAAAAGTGACTTATGAAGCATTGGTTAACTTAATACAGGACTCTGCCTTAATTTAAAAAATGGATTTTAAATTCTCATGGGAACTGTGCCTTTGCTCTTTATGAAAAAGCGAGCAATACACTTCATTAGCAAAGCATACAATGAAAATTACACACAGTTGGCTTGAAATGAAAAAGGAAACAGCATAATAAACATTGCAGCTGGTCAGCCACCAGTTAGACCTTTCTCCTTGTAAACCTGCTTCTTCAATTTGGCAATGCAGTCCTTGAGCAGAAACAGCAAAGGGTATATAACTTGATACTTCATTACACAGAACTGTTACATTGGGGTTGTGCAAACATTTTTACATCTTTAATTTTGTCAAATCATAGCTAAAGCGGGCCATGTCAGTTTATTGCTCTTTTTTAATGGTATTTTCATATGAGTTCAGTCACCCACATGGAATCTTTCAACATTTAGTAGTTGACAGTACCATCTTCAATAAAACCTTGGTCCTTGAGCCTGTATTCTACCCTTGCATTTCACCTTGGTTTTAAGCAGAGCTGCATGGGAAAACAGGTGACATTTCTTCTGTGATGAGTCCCAGTATCTGTCTTAATTCATAAAAATCTGATAAAATGCTTTCACTCACATCTGGAGCAATGACATATGAAATGTACATAAGGCAATGAAAATTGCACACGTATGAAGTCAAAGCCAGCCATAAAATATTCAAAATCAAATACTCTGTATGTTGGCTGCATGTGAAATATTTCACAGTTATTTATACCTGGCCAATGCCATTTAAGACCTAATTCTGCTCCCAGTGGGGTTTCCAGCAATTTTGCAAAGGACCTTCTTTGGTAAAAAGAAGTAAAAGGAGAATGATAGGACATTAAATACTAAATACCAAATACTATAGTTAGTTTTATTTCTATTAAAATTTAAAAACACTTGAGAATCAACCAGTGCAAGGTATAAAAAAAACTGACCGGAGTTTTGGAATGTATAACCTTTGAGATCATTATTTATAATACTTTTAATGTCAGAGGTACTTTTGTTCCTTCTTATGGGATTACTGCTGGTCACCTTCCTGAGATTTGAAAGACCATGAAAGACAAGCACCGTAACTATTCCTCTAAATTTTCATATCACAAATCAATAATTCGGTCCTTTTCTAAATGGATCTCTCCCCACAATTACACTAAAACACAGTGATGGGTCACAAATTCCAGGGGGCCCAACTGGTCCTGGCATTCCTGGAGTGCCACGATCTCCATCTTTCCCAGGCTGCCCACGCTCTCCAGGACGTCCCTCCTTACTCATGCCTGGTGGACCTTCAGGACCTTAATAACACACATGCAATAAATAAATAAATGCATTAACTATTAAAATGAAAATGATCAAGTATGGAGTCACAACACCCCTACTCTTCGCTGAAGTATGCAGAGAAAGAAAACTTAGTTTCCTGCAAAAGACACTTCTTGTTACAAACTGTTTATATATCTATGTAAACAACATGATATCTTACAAAGATTTTTTTAAAGCATGTGGAAAACACTTTAAATAAAGACAGCTTTTAAAGCAAAATATTAAAATCTGCTTTAGTACACTATTCTACTTTATCATATAATCTGGAGCCACCATGGCACGAATCAGTCTCCCTATTTCTATTTGTTTCTCTGGCTTTGGATAGCACCCTAATATACCTTCCAAATGCTCAACTTTACATTTTGTATGCATACACTAATATTATGAAGAATAGTTTCCCTCATTAAGCAATGTTTACAAGTCACGTGATCATATCAGGGCTCAATTTTCAGATACAGTTGACTTCAGGGTCCATCTATCAAGAAACGGCAGTCTCAGATACCAATCTCTACAGGACCCATCTTATATTAAATAATGTATTAATTATTAAATGATGTATATGGCAACTTATAAAGTATGCAAGAGACAAGTATTACCCTAAAATATTTGGTAAGTAAGATGTGTACAAACTATGTAAGTTTTTCCAAATTACATCAACATATTTCCTAAACCACACTTTAAAACCTTTTTAGCATGCATTGAATCTGCACACCTGAACCATCCCTCACCTGGGGGTCCTGGGGGGCCTTGGATCCCAGGAACACCAACTCCTTGACTGCCTTTTGCACCATTCTTCCCTGGCAGTCCTGTGAATTAGCAAACACATGCATATCTTTGCACACCATTTTCATCCAACAAAGTCAGAAATCAGCATCTGATAATATTTATTGAATTAAATGTGTAATATTTGAAAAAGCAAATAATGGGATGCAAAACAAGCCTTTTCTTGTAGCTTGCGCAGTGTGACTGGGTCCTAAATCATGCTAATTTCTACTGAATTTAGAGTTCATGTAGCAACAGTTAAGCAGACAGCCACTATCAGTTGAGGGAACAGATGATAGGTAACTAAGAAATTTGATGTAATTGCCTTCCTATCAGCAAAGTTTTTAATATGTTGTATAAAGGAGGTGTAAGTTTTTTATCATAATCCCTGTGGAATACAGAATATATAGAAAATATTCCACAAAACACGCAGCATAATTAAATCTCCACCAAAGAAATACTCGGGGTCAAAATATGAGCTCTCTTAATAATTTACTGGTACAACCCAGTAAATTCAGTTTCTTCATAGATATATTACTTATTTTTCCAAGTTTTATGGAATAACCAGAACTGCTAGTGTCAGCTCCAGAGGAAAACTGCATATTCTCCTGTTGGAGATTAAATTATAAAAGTACTACAGGCAAATCATCATTACATACAAAATGAATTTGGTGTGCTAGGTCACAGATAGTAAGTCACAAAGAAAGTAAATATTTGTCAACAATTTGTCTGCTTACCATTGACACATTACTAACTAGCTGTTAGTTTACACAGCTTTACTGATTATTTTGATGCTACCAGTTACCAAATTATGGACCCCACCCAGTCTCTTCCTCTAGTTCCAGACTATATATGTGTACTTAATATAAAGTTCTGCAAATACATCACAGAAATCAATTGGAATGCTTGGACAGCTGAGTTGCCTGAAAGCATAAACCTTAGCCTGCCTAAAAAGAATCCAGAATGTTTACGAAAATCATAAAGAAAAGAGCAAAAATCCCTTTGAAATAAAAAGAACAGGAAGACAAAAAGTCAGGAAATCAAAAAGAGTGTAAAAAGTTGTCAGATGTCAAAAATCAGCACAGATAGTAAATAGCCAGTGAATAAATACTGTTCCTTAAAATAGCAGAAACAAATAAGTTTGGAAGAAAAGAAGCCAGAAGACATGGAAATACTTTGAAATCTATGTCTAGGCATATTTGATCTAAAAAAATAATCTAATGCAGGTAGAAACATTTACATGAGACTAAGAACTCTCTAAAAAGATCAGAACAGAGTTTGACTATGGCAGAACTGAACAATAACTATCTGGCTGTGTTCCTGTATTCTCTCTCCTGTCACGTGTACCCTGAATGTGGTGAAACACCCACACTGCTCCATGTTCACAATTCCATTCAGCCAAACAAGCCCAGCTATTCTCTTACTCCACCCTGCATCAATCCCATTCAAAACTAGAAGCAGAAAACCAAGGCATAAAGGCCTTTAGCACTGTGACACACACACACTGTACCTCTTGTCCCACGAGCCCCAGGGCGACCTGGCATGCCCATCAGCCCTGGAATGCCATCATTCCCTGGTAAACCAGGAAACCCTCTTGGGCCTTCAGGGCCTCTTGGACCTGGTGGTCCTGGAAGTCCTGGGGGAGCACTTTGGGACTGACAATGGTTACAGTTTTGTAGTCTTCCACTCTGGAGAATGGCAGGCAGCTGGGCTGTGAGAATTCAAACAAAAAATTGCTTAAAGTGTTGTAACAATAGAAGTATTGCTCCCAACCACTAATACAAAATCAGTTCCCCCTCTTAAGAGAATATAATACCTTTAGAAACAACATGGTAACTACGGAGCCTGTGATGTGGAAATATTGTTCCACACGCATTGGAAAACAAAGAAAAAAATTGCAATATAAAACTTGCTTTCAAAAAAGATTTTCTATAATTATCAGGAAACTTCTTTAGTACTTCAAACAAGGAAACAACAGTAAAGAAGCTTTCAAACTTACTTCTCAGTACATCTGAACACACCTGTCGAATAAACTCTTCTGAAAATTCTCGTGCCTGAATTGAACAGAGAACAAAGCATGCAATTCTTTCTGGTTTTTAAGGCACCCAAAATGAAAAGTTTGAAGTCCTATACATACAGGTTTTCCATCTGATCCAGGTGGTCCTGGGGGTCCTCTATCTCCTGGCTGACCTCTGAGACCAGGAGGTCCAGTCAAACCCTGGACACCAGATTCTCCTTTTTGTCCACTGATGCCTCGAATGCCTGGATCTCCTTTCTCACCTTTCTGGAAAGAAAAATCAATGAAAAGCCAATTATATGTTCACAGATCATCTGGAAGGTAGGTAGCACCAAACAAACATATTCTGAGAAATCTTTATTGAAGTTCTTCATAAAATTAATGTGACGTAAGAAAAAATTAACTTGATATTGATGAGGTCTATTTTGCTAAAACATACTGAAGTTTTCAGATACCTAAGCAGCTGTTTCAGATAAAATTACCAGAGAGAACTAGAAATAAATTAACTTTCTTAACTTTCAAGACACATTTTACTGTTCATTATTAACACATGGAAGGAAGGATTTTATTCACTTTTTCCTCAGAAGCAGAAAAATTTTTATAGAATGTTACAATCCTTAGAAGGCCAGAAAAATTGGATGTGAAATTCTGGCACCACTGAAGCTCCTGGAAACTTACAATAATAATCAAGCCTTTAAACTTATCTCTGCAGTGTAGACAAAGGAAAGAAAAAATTATTTCAGTTAGGGATTTTTTGCTTCATTTTTTTTTCATCTGATTGATGGTAAGTGTAGTCTGTTTTCTTCACTGGAAAAGGTAAAAAAATGCTGAAAAATATTTTGATATATCTTCACCAAAGCAATGGTTCTATGTATGGAATTACCCACTGCAATAGCTCATGTGGAACTCTTTCCCTGCTCTGAAGCCAACAAAACTTTAGTATGTGCCCAAGATTAATGTCAGTATCCTATGTTTGCTCCCTTATGAGTTTTTTCTTCCTTTGTTTGCACAGCTTCTGCATAAAATTATCAATTGCTGAAAAATTTTCTTTCTCCTCTTCCAAGTATTTTAGGTGGAATTGTGAGAACAGGACTATTATATATGACAAACTAATTGAAACAAATAATAAAAGGTTAAGAAATACTCTCATGCATATGGCCTCAACAAACTTACAGTGAATTTTAAATTATGGTATTTCTATTACTTTGTAACATCTCCTATATTACTTATCTTCACATCAGAAAAATCTTCACATTAGAAAAATTCAAAGCTTCCTGGCTTGGTCTATATTAGTGATAATGCCCAGAATTCTCTACATGAATTACTGCAGGGTAACAAGCTTTAAATTCAGTGTCAGATTAATCAGTTTTATGAGTTAGGCAGTGAAATCAGACAGGTAGCTCATGCTCTTTAAGAAACAGAGAAATGAGACAAAATGTGACAGATGTCAGTCAAGTACCTAGGAGTACTGCTGGAGGGGTGGCCAGTTCAGAGGCATGACCTGAACAGCAGTCCATACCTTCAAAAAGTCATACATTAATTCAGATACAACTTCTTCCAAAGTTGCAGTTGTAATTTATTTTCTTGATATTGTCATCTTGAATGTTGTAGTCACAGGGAAGGGATCCTCTTAGTTACCACATGTAGATTTGTACTTGCTCATTTCAAATACATAATTGCAAAGGTGTTTTTTTTCATTTAAACAGTCAGCAAGGCTCAGAGATAAACACATGGTGCTTATGTAGCTACCTGGGGCTATACTAGAAAATATATGTGCTGAAAGCTCCTACAGCTAGGAGGGGTTTTGTTTTGTTTTAAATTTTAATTCCTTTTACCCCCATGGACTATATTTACATAAAAGACTTGCAAGCTGAGCTATCTGAACTAAATATTAAAGGGGCTAGAAGGCATTATGAACCAGAGAATACTGGGGAAATAGCATCTACTGTAGAACAACATTAGGGGCAAGAAGCCAGCATAAAAACACCAGGAGAAAATGTTGGAAGCATCAGCAGAACTGCCTGAAGAACTTGCCAAGAAACAACTGAAACTGTAGGGGGAAAATTTTCCACAGTATATCTTGGTCTTTTAATGCTCAACCACATCCATGTGAGGCCTTGTTTGCTGACCCTTGCTATTGGCAAAGAAAAGCAAAGAAAGGAAAACAGCTCAGTAAGTGCTGAGACTCATAGGCTGAAGAAAATTTAGAAATCAGAGTCTAACAAAAGCCATATTTTATAGAACTAGAAAATAAACTAATTTTATAGGTTGGATAAGTAAACACAATGACGTCATTATAGCTTAATACATAGTAAGAAGTTATTTAAATTAATTTCCAGTAGAAATATTTTATTGCCGTGATTTACAATACTTAAGGAGACTAATACAATAGCATACAAGGAATCTTTTACCAGTTTGACAATAATTTAGCAAAACACCTATAAGCCAAACCACCACTGAAGTATTTATTACAATACTCACAGAAGCATATGAAAAAACTTATAGGTTAAAATGGATAAGATAATTTTATTATCAGAATGGAAATTCCAATTAATGCATCTGGCTACTGATATGCAGCAATGCTTCATGGAAAAAGAATCAATAAAACATATCTAAATAACTTTGAAAGAGAATCAGATTAATGGAAAAGTGCATACTCTTATTTTACAAAATATTTCTATAAATAAATAATAACCAACAAAATTAATACTATAAATACCAATTTTTAAACAACATGCAACACAATGATTCTTTTTCTCTAGTTATTTTCTTTAGTCATTTCCTCTGTTCAACCAATCCTTTCTCTCTTTTTCTGTTGGTTGGTTTCCTGGCTTTTTAATTCACTTAAAGTATATGCTTGGCTTTAATAATTTTTAATGACATGTATATCTTATTCTATCTCTTTATAATCAATACTTCTTTCTCTGCTATTTTTCAATTTCTCCTCTGTTGCTTAGAGACATGTGAGTACAGAAGACTAAACACACATTTTACAGATCACATAATTTGCAGAAACAGAGTAATTTTGTAATTCTATATTTATCATTGCAAAAATACGTACCTCTCCTCGTTCTCCACTCAACCCTTCTACTCCCTTTAAAAAATAAGATGAAAAAGAAATTCAAAATGCAGGCTGAACCAAATTTCCTGGAATCAAAAATTAATATTCTTTGTCCTTTGTTTTCAGCAATCACAAATGTTAATTTTTAAAGATTCTTTGATTGCTATAGTACAAAAAATGAAACTGCATATAATGATGAAAAATATATATCAGGTGAATGAACACTTCAGTATTGCCTTTAATATCATGTACCAAGAGGATAATTTGGGAATGTATCACACATATTATAAACATATAAACATAATACAGACTTAAGAAACAAAACCTTATTCATTTTACAGAAGAAGTAATGTGTCCTAGCAGAAGTAAACTCCTGATTCATTTCAGAGCCTTTGAAATACAGACTCAGTGGTAAGGCAGATTTTTCATGCTAGCAAATTATTTTGGTGACATTTCTGCCAAGTGGCTCCGTTATGTCCCATGGCAAGATGGCAGTTCACTTTTCTGATTCACTCTTACGAACAAGGAAGTCTTTATTGTGTCTTAAGGATTTTTGGAAAGATCTTGTGTTGTCTACTAAATTACTGATTTTTTTGGTTGCTGACCAAACCAGATAAGCATAGGAAACAATTTTAGACTCAGTCTGTATTATTTTTTCAGCTTTCTCCAAAAAAAAGCAAGCAAGCAACAGAAATTCACTTGCATCATTCTATCTGAAAGAGAAATGTTTTCTTTCACTATCACTTTGTTTTCCCTTATGACTAAAATAATAAAGATATGAAAAAATTGTCCATTATTTGCAAAAAAAAAAAA